AATTGAATTATGGAAGAAATTATTTCATTGGTTCTTTCTTAAACATAGAAAACTCAGTCTCAAGATGCAGGCTTTGGAAGAATATAAAGATCTACTGAACAAAGCTGGGCATGGTAACATGCACCTGTATTCCCAGCTACTCTAGAAGCTGAGGCAGGAGAACTGCTTGAGTCCAGGGGTTCAAGGCCAGCCTTGACAGCACAGTGTGACCCAGCCTCAAAAACAAAAAGTTTTTCTAAATTTAGTAAACCCTCTATAGACTATATAGGAAGACACTGTTGTCTTCCGGTATACTCTATAGGTTACATTATTCTCTTGCTTTTAATAGCTCCTATCGCTCATTCCCTTTGACCCCTAGCACAGAAGCTATTTCTGAATCTGTGCTTTTTGTCAATATTATTTTGTATCTTCTGAACCTCAGTAGGACAAGCAGGTGTCAGTGACACTTTCTTCACATAAGTAGACGGCCCAGTAATGTCCTACAAGTGGAAGAGATAATCACGGACTTATCAAGCAAGGAGGCAAAGACTAGCTCATGGGCAAGTGGCTGTAGATTCTAAATTTTCTAGGATAATTCAACAAATGTATTACCTTGTTTACACCAGAAAGCCGGCAAGCTGGTCATCCTGGTCAACATTTTTGTCTCAAGATGCTGGTGTTATTAATTTGTCATATGATTCAAAGAAACCTAAGCTCTCGTAAACTATCTACCCCAAACTTGTTTCACCTTATCTGTCAACTCCTTTCTAATATAGCCAACTTGACCCAAGGGGGTATTTTAATGTAAACAAAGGTGTATATGTCAAAGAGGCCTCGCAAAAGATCTGACAGCAACATCGACTTAGAAAAGAATAGGAGAAAATGGATCATTCCAAGGTTATGACAGGAAGAAAAAAAATTTTACTTTTATCTCAGCGATAAAATGTTTATCCTACTTATGTTTACAGTATCTACAATATTTTTCAGGTATCTAAAAAAAGAGAAGCTGGGTTTGGTGGTGCACACCTGTAATCCCATCACTCGGGAGGCTGAGGCAGGAGGATTGTTAGGAGTTCCAGGCCAGCTTGGGCTACAGGGAGCTCAAGGCCAACCTGAACTACATAGCGAGACCCTGTCTCACCAAGACAATAACTAACTAACTAAATAAATAAATAATTAAAAAAATAAAAGAAGAAACTATAAACTCTAAGATCACAGAGATGACAAGAACAGTCTTAAAATCTTTCAACATTCAGAGTCAATAGTACCCGACTTATTCTCAAAACATCGTAAGATGGTCCAGCATGGGATGGTGAGAAACAAACTTGAGAAAGAGAAGGGCTAGGAAGTGAAGAGAGACAGACACGCGCGCACACAATGCGATGAGAAAACGAGAATGCAGAGGCGCTGGAAAACAAAAACTGAACAACCCGAGAAGCCTCCACTTTGCCGTGCTCCTTCAAAGCGCCAGTGATTTTCCACCTTTTGGAGTCAGTGGTGAATATATCTCCCACCCGGAGATCCCACCGTAAACTCCCGCGCCCGCTTCCGACCACGTCCACAAAATTCCCGGGGAACAGTCCGGGCGCGCGCGCCCCTTGTCACCCGCCAGCCGAGGGACACCGGCGCCCAGGGAGCCCTGCGGCCGGGCACCCGGTGCCGGGAGAAGTTCTCCGGACAGGGACGGGGCGCGGTGAGGTGAAGGAAAGCGGGGAACGGGAAGCAGGCAGGACTACGGACTCCTCAGCACGGAGCCGAGTGTGTCGGGGACAGACAGCTATCTCGTCGGCACCGAAACTCGCCGCATCCCCGGGGCACCAGAAAAAAGACTGGCGGGAGGCCTGCTGCCTCAAGCTGCGCCGCCACCCTCTTCGCCTTCCCTAAATGGCTGTCTCCCTGCACCCTTCGCAGTTCTGGACTCACCCGTTCACGCTCGAGTTTCAGCAGCGGAGAAGAAGCCGCCCACCTCCGACAACCATAGAGACGCAGAGCCAGCGGAGGCCAGCCGGTCCCTCCCCCGCCCACCCTCACGTGACTCTCCTAGTCGCGGGCCCTGTCGGGATTGCAGGGAAACGAACGGGGCGGAGAACTAAGAGAAGAGGGGCGGGGCGAGGGAAGCAATTAGCCACGCCCTGAGTTTGGCCCCGCCCCGTCTCCCTTAGGCAGGAAAGCGGGAGTCCTCCCAGAAGCCCTGGGGCTTGTCTTCTGCTTTGCGCTCCAGCAGGGACAGGGGCGACTGTTAATCCCGCTACCCTGGGCTTGGTACCCGTTTTACTGTTGGCTAAGGAAGAAATGGAGTAAATGAAGAGAAAACTGGGCCACGGTGAGGTGGGGAATTGTTTCAAACTGCCTTTTGGGAAATAAATAAAAAATAAAAAAAATATGAAAAACTGCCTTTTGGGTTAAACTTCTAGTAAAACTTCATTTCATAATCTTTCTCTTTTTTTGCCCAAAACACATGTTGAATTTTTAATTTTTATTTTAAAGAGAAAAGAAAACAAAATTTTTAAAAAATTATTAGTACGTACCTGTTTGCAGTACATAGTGATCACATTCCACACGGGGAGTTGGTCCACGCACATAAACACAGCTTAACTCTTTTTTCATCTCCTTCGCCGCCCCTCTAGCTCTTGCTCGCCTTTTCTTTTGCAAAAGATTTAGCTCCCAGTGTCCTGTTATCTTTGACTTTGCTCTTTATTTATATTTTGGGTTTTTCATATAAGAGAAAGAGGGGCTGGGGATTTAGCTCACTGGTACAGCACCTGCCTGGCAAGCGTGAGTTTGATTCTCGGTACCTATATATATATATAGAACCTAAGAAGAACAGATTTTTTATCATGTTCATAGCACTATGCTAGCACTTTACATACAACCCACTGTTGGTCCACAAGCAGCCTGTGGAATGGGCACTATTTCTGTTCATTTACAGGTGAGGAAACAGGCTTAGGCCCCTATGTAATACAGCAAATGCTAGAGCTGGGGACTCCTGACCTGAAGGATACAAAAGCAGTGCGCTTTAATTTATTGTCTCTATGGCAGTTAGGAATCTTTACTGATTTGTAGCTATCAAAATGTACTTTTTCAGAGCCAGGATATAACTTAATGGCACATGCATTTTGCCTGCCTGGCAAAATATACCTGTTCTGAAACTCTGTTCTGTCTTACATGAGAAGTCTGGTTTAAAAAAAATAAAATAATTATAGAAACTTAGCATGTTATCCTTGTCAGCCAGCATTCCATTAACTGTGATGATAGGAATTTCAAGTCACATGGTAAATGACTATAGAACACTTTGGAGGCTTGTGGGACCTCAAGCAGTAACTAAGTAAACTGTTTCTCAGAACAAGGAAAAAAGAAAATTAAATTAACATATAAATATTGAACAAAAATCAACTTTTAAGAATTGGTAGCCAGGCATGGTGGCACACACCTGTAATCACAGCACTTGGGAGGCTGAGGCAGGAGGATTGGTTTGAGTTTGAGGCCAACCTGGGCTACAAAGTGAGTTTAAGGCCTGCTTTAACTGCATAGTGAGAATCTGTCTCAAAAAGACCAAAAGCAAAAAAATTGGTGAAGAAAAATTTAAATTAAAAAAATGGGTGAAATTTATTCTTGATTTTAGGCTATAATTGCCTATCTAAAAGTAAATAACCATCCGGGTATGGTGGCACATGCCTATAATCCCAGCACTCAGGAGGCTGAGACAGGAGGATTGCCCTGAATTTGAGGACAGCCTGGGCTACCTAGTGAGTTTAAGTCGCACTTGAACTACACAGCAAGACACTGTCTCAAAAAACTAAATAACCAATTGAACTAATGATTAAAGAACATGTAATATTATAAATCACTAGTTATTCAATCTTTTGGTCTCGGGACTCCTTTATACTCTTAAAAATTATTAAAGACTCCGAAGAACTTTTATGGGTTATGTCTATCAGTATTTACCATATTAAAAATTAAAATTAAAAATGGCTAGTGTTTACTTAGCAATTTTTAAAAATTAACCTATTATATCTTTACACAAGACTCATAACAAGTGCAGCTTATAAAAATGGAACTTATAAAACTCACAACAGCTTATAAAAATGTATAAGCTCAGGCCCGCCGTGGGGCAGTTGTGTACAGTATGCGTGAGAGGATGCTCTCAGGACCTCTCTTTTGCACGGAAACCTGCAGATGCTCAAGTTCTTTGTAGTAAATAGCATACCATTTGCATATGATATGTGAACATACTCTGAGATGTTAGATCATCTCTATAATTCTTAACACAATGTAAACACTATGTGAATAGTTACTGTACTGTATTGTATAGGACAGTGGTGGCAAACCTGCAGCATGCAGAGGCAATAAATGTTTCTCTCTTAGGACAAAAGATGTTGATGTGTGAGTTGTTTCTAAACTAAAACCTCTGTATTCAATTGCAGCATTGGCACTGTGCAGGAAATAAGTGGGGTTAGGGTTGCAGTGCGGGCACTCGTTGCTGAAAGGTTTGCCGTCACTGGCTTAGGGAGTAATGGGGGAAAACACCTGCAGAAGTTGAGTGCAGATGCAATATTTTTAATTCTTGGATGCCTGAATCTGCAAATGCAGAACCTACAGAAACAGGACAAACTATATATGTTGAGACTCTCACTCAGGTAAAAATATACTCTATACTATATCCTTTTGTGGGGTGTGGTGATGTATGCCTGTAATCATAGCACTTGGAAGGCTGAACCAGCCAAAAACATATATATAGATATAGATATATTTTTTTTGGCCAAATCCAATAGTTCCCAAACCAGTTTGATAATCCAATACCTCAGAATTCTTTGGGACTATCTAAAAAATACAGATTACGGAATCATGGGATGCTGTATACAGCTTCAGTGAACCAGAATGGTGTTCAGGAACCTGAACTACAAAAGTCCCAGGTGATTCCCATGCAGTGGCGGGGTTGGGAATGAACACTAAACACTATATATGCAACAAAGACATTAGATAGGTCTTTACCTGCAATGCCATCACGTAAAATATCATCTCTATTTATTCCACTTTCAGTATTTCAAAGGTATATTGTGTTAAGACATCTGTCATCAAGAGACAGAATATTTTATTTCATTCAGTTAAAATAGAAATGGATGTGCTTATTTCAAACATTTTCTAGTTCATGTACCTTTATCACATACATAAAAACTATGTGAGGTGTTACCACTGTATTCTCTTTTCCCTGTAAAAGGAAAAATCTCTTTTATGACTCGCATCTGACTGCAAAAACTGTAATTTCATAAAGCTATGATTTTATTTCTTTGAAATGAACTCAGTGCAATGTCCTATGCTTTATTGCATTTATCTTCAGGGTTCTGTAGATTATAGGCGTTTATAACCTGTGCAGTCTTTCATCACAGATTCCTGTTTTCTTTCACAGCGCTGGAGATTGAACCGAGAGCCTTGTGCAGGCTAGGCGAGCATTGTACCACTGAGCTACATTTCCAGCCCACAGATTTCTCTTTTTTTCCTTTTAATTTTTCTTTTATTTTTGTACCACATGCTTACAGTACATAATAAATGCGCTCCTCGTGGGGAGTTGGTACACGTACATACATCTTCATTCTTCTTAACATTCACCTCCTTTCTTCCCCTCCTCCATCTCTTGGTTCCTTGCCATCTGCAAAAGATCCTTGTCTCTATTTCCTATTTCTATCTTTTATTTTGCATTTTGTTTATACTTTGGGGTTCTCATATAAGAGAAACTGTGTGGTATTTAAGCTTGTGTGTCTGACTTATTTCACTTAACATTGCGGTTTCAAGGTACATCCGTTTTCCTACAAATGACTCACATTTATCCTCTTTTATAGCAAAGCCCAGTCCGCAAGCTTCTTCGGAGAATATGATATACTGTAGTAGCTATCCAGAGGCTTAGCTGTTGCAGTGAGTGTTTTTTCCTAACTGTGGCAGAAATTCATTACATTCAATTAAATAAGAAAAAACAATTTTTAACTCGGGAGGCTGAGGCAGGAGGATTGGTGCAAGTTCGAGGCCAGCCTGGGCTACAAAGTGAGCTCAAGGTCAGCGTGAACTGCATAGTGAGACCCTGTCTCAAAAAGACAAAAAAGAAAAAACAATTTTTAAAGCTTAAAAATATTTCCTTTCTTTTTACCACAAAAGGAGATGGGGGAGATCAGCTAAATGAGCTATAAACATGATGATTTACAAAAATTTAAATATATTCATTTTACGTGACACTAACTTCAAGATTAAAGAATCCCCAACTAGATTTTTGTTTATAACCACATATCAACACCAAAAGCAACTTGAGCTTTTTGGAGAACTGGCTGATATCAGGGCTTAGGCAGAGTGGTACAAGATGAGCTGGAACATTTTATTGTGGCCAAGCATAAGGCTGTGCAGATCCTTGTCAGAAGGAGCCAGCTTGAACGTCTTCTCACTAGCCAAATCTGGTATAAATTTTGTTTAGTGGGTTATAATTCATTGCTACTCTAGCAATGAACAAAATTAGAATTCATACTCTCTACTAATGAGAAAGAGACAGACAGACAAGTGAGAGATGAGGGGAAGGCTGTTTTCCTGACAGTGAAAGTTCCACTGATAAATCCAGAGAGCATGGTACAGTTGGGGAGTCAGCATTTTGAAACAATCACAGTAAAGATTGGGCAAATACCATCAATGGATACAAATGGGGGAGGGGCAAAGTCTTATGAGAAGCAGAATATCTTCATAACAAGAACAAGAAAGTGAAAGAACTAGCTGAACTGTACTAGAAGGGGCTAAGGGGACTTGAAAACTAAACCCTAAATTGAAACTTCTACCAATGGGGGAAAAAGATTTATTGGAACAGTTGACAAAATTTGGATATGGACAAGCCAGGCATAGTGGCTCATGCTTGTAATCCCAGCACTGGGGAGGCTGAGGCAGGAGGATCAACACAGGTGTGAGGCCAGCCTGGGCTATATATAGTGAGTTCAAGGCCATCCCAAAATCCATAGCAAGACCTTGTCTCCCCAAAAAACAACAAAAAAAGGAATATGGGCCAC